GCATAAAGCGGTAGCAACAAATTAGTTGCAGTCCTCTGAACAACCACTTTTACGGCCAAAAAATTAATCAAGCTGTATGTGCCTTTTAATGCTTGGGAATCCCCGATGAAATGCAGTCAAACAATAACGCAGACTGAATCGCGACGATCAAATACTGTAACCTCGACGTAGGTCTCTCGTTAAGTAACAGATCCCAGGATTTCGCATTATCACACTAAGTAACAAGCTTCTTGACAGAAAAGTAGTTAAAGTAATTTATTTAAATAAAAATTCATAGTTCAGACGGCATTGACTTAAATTAAACATACAGATCAATTAAAGGGTTTATGTTTTATGTTGTACCTTCAGTTCCCAGCATTTTGGTGGACCTTTAATAGGCCATTATGTTGGAACTTAAAAACACTGCAATAAGAATGCTCTATAAGTTCTGGTTACCTAAGGAATTCCAAACTAAGGACCAAAAACTCTAGCTTCTTACGATCCGTACCTCTTACTACAAGTCATCATCATTATAATTATATTATATGTATTATGTTTCTAATTATATTGATATTGGCGAGGGAAAATCTAACCTTTCCCAGTGCCATCAACTAGTCTGAAATAGTAATATGTTCTCTACAGTTATATTTACTAAATATATGTAACATTTTTTTTTATTAATAAAACGAAGCCTGTCATAAGAGACAATTGACTGGGAAATTTTTAAGAGGTAATATGTGTGATTTTTACCTTGGAATTTTAAGTGTAATTTTACTGGAAATACAGGAAAATTCAGTGAGTCACGCAGGGCACCTAGCGGCCGTTGCAGATAAATCTAAACCGAATTTTGTTAAGGTCACGCTTATAGGCTTTGTTGGGTCAGTGAGCTTTTTCAAAAACCAATACCTTGGCGGTGCCCAAATAAAATAATCCGCACAAATTTCACTTAACAAATTGCACTTATTTATTTAACTGGCACCAAGGCCTTAAATGTCCAAAGTTAATGTTTATTGTAAAGTTGGTTAGGCAGGCAGACCGAATTGTCTGTGCCTTTTTCCAGCGAAAAGGTGTGTTGGGCAGGCAGACCGATTTGTCTGTGCCTTTTTGCAGCGAAAAGGTATGTTAGCAGGCAGACCGATTTGTCTGTGCTTTAGACGAAAGTATATAACGCGAAAGAATAGGCAGGCGTTCAGCGATAGTGCCTTCTGTAAGCGAGTACCAAATCGAACTATATTGCAGCTTGCCGTGGACAAAGGGCCAGGCAGCGATAAGCTAAGTGCAAAAAGGGAGTTAGTGATGACAATTAAACAGCGTTGCCGCGCAGAGCAAAACAAAGGCAAACATCGAGAATATGGTTTACGTTAGGATTTGAAAATTAGTGATTTGATTTAGGCTGCGGCATGACCGAACCGGCTTTGTCTTGAAAAACTTTTTATAGAAATATTTTTTTTAATATTTAAAATATCATTTTGGCCTATCAAAATCGAAGCAATGACCATTTTTCTATTAATTTTGGCTTACTTCACCGATTGTTTCTATGACATGTAGTGATAGAGTCGTGCGAAATCGTTAGTTGCCAAAACACATCAGAAGAAAGGACTCTTTTGTCTTTACGGCCAAAAAATTAATCAAGCTGCATCTGCCTTTTAAAGTGTCTTCGGAATGCTTGGGAATCTCCGATGAAATGCAGTCAAACAATAACGCAGACTGAATCGCGACGATCAAATACTGTAACCTCGACGTAGGTCTCTCGAAACGTAACAGATCCCAGGATTTCGCATTATCACACTAAGTAACAAGCTCCTTGACAGAAAAGTAGTTAAGGTAATTTATTTAAATAACAATTCATAGTTCAGACGGCATTGACTTAAATTAAACATACAGATCAATCAAAGGGCTTTTGTTTTATGACCGAACAGGCTTTGTCCTGAAAAACTTAATTCACTGTCTTTTGGCATAAGAATCCAACTCAGCAAATCAAATTGCTGTGCTGTCAAAACTGTTGATACCAACTAAATTACCCATTTGTGTGCGTATAAGTGCGCGTGACAATTTTCCCAAAAGTTTTTTATTACCAGAGCCGGCACTTTCAATCCCAATATTCTTGCTTTTATTTATTGCAAGATAACGTAGTTTAAACAGTCAAAGGTCGAAACGCCCTCATAGCTGGTTTGTGCGTGGCACAAACTCTTAACTTACTAAGAATACAACTGTTAACTAACAATACAAAAAAGTAAGAAAGGAAGCTAGCTTCGGCAAGCCGAAGCTTATATACCCTTGCAGTATCAAATATGTCGAACAAAATGCATAAAGGCTAAACGACAGCTTAGACGATTTTTCTATTCATTTTCCATATTTTCGACTTTAGATCATATGGTCCGATTTTAATGAAACTTAATTCGGTATTCAAGAGTCGTTAGAAAACTCTATATTCCAAAAATCATGCTTGTCTGATGAAAAACAACGATGTTACAATTTTATTTCCGGTATTTCTTTATAGATTTTTCGATCTTTCCTATGGCAGATATAAGATATAGTTGTCCGATTTTTATGAAATTTTTTTCTCAATATAAGATTTGTTAAAAAACTTGATATTCGAAAAATCATGCTCGTGGGATAAAAAACAACGATGTTATCAATTTATTTCCATTAATTTTATATATATTTTTCGATCGCTCTTATGGCAGCTATGTATATGATAGAGTTATCCGATTTTGATCAAATTTAATCCGAAATTCAATAGCAGTTCAAAAATGCCATCTGGAAGAACTCAAGTCGATCTGATCAAAAACAACGGTCAGAGCATTTTTTATTTCATTCTCTAGTATGGGAGCTATCCGATATAGTCGGCCGATCCGGCCCGTTCCGACTTATATACTGCGTGCAATAACGACACACCTTTTGGGAAAGTTTCAGCAAAATAGCTTTAAAACTGAGAGACTAGTTTATAGAGAAACAGACAGACGGACAGACGTACAGACGTAATCTGATTCTACTCGTGATGCTGTTCAAGAATACCTATATATACTTTATGGGGTCTGAGGTGTCTCCTTCACTGCGTTGCAAACTTCTGACTAAAATTATAATACCCTTTTGCTTTGCAAGGGTATAAAAATAGTGGAAATGTTATCATATTAACATTGTTGTTCTAAGAAAATTAGCCATGTTTGCAGCCAAGTTTGCATCTTAAGCATATTTGCAGGGTAGGTTTTTATTTATAGAGGGTATTTTGTTATTAGTTTATTAAAAGAATCTAGACCACTTTTTTTTTTGTTTGTAAAAGAAAGACGGTAAGCAAGGTTTCGAAATGTAACTTTTTAAATTAATTGTATTTCAATAAAAACAAGAAAGGAAGCTTCGGCTTGCCGAAGCTTATATTCCCTTGCAGTCATTAAATATGTCGAACAAAATACATAAAGGCTAAACAACATCGAAGCTATGAGGATTCTTCTATTCATTTGCCATATTGTTCATATGACAGCTATATGATATAGTCGTCCGATTTTGATGAAATTTAATTTGAAGCTCAAGACTCATTAGAAAACTCTATATTCCAAAAATCATGATTGTCTGAAGAAAAACAACGAGGTAATCATTTTATTTCCGTTATTTCTATATAGATTTTTCGATTTTTCCTATGGCAGCTATATGATATAGTTTTCGGATTTTAATGAAATTTTTTTCTCGATTTAAGAGTATTTAAAAAACTTGATGATTTTAGATTAAAAACAACAACGATATAATTTTTTTCCATTATTTATATATATATGTTTTGATCTCTCCTATGGGAGCTATATGATAGAGTTATCTGATTTTTATTAAATTTAATCCGAAATTCAATAGCAGTTAGAAAATGCCATCTGGAAGAAATCAAGTCGATCCAATCAAATACAGCTGCCTGAGAATTTTTTATTTCGTTCTCTCGCATTGGAGCTATCCGATATAGTCAGCCGATCCGGCTCGTTCCGACTCATATACTGCGTGCAATAACTACACACCTTTTGGTAAAGTTTCAGCAAGATAGCTTTAAAACTGAGAGACTAGTTTGAAGAGAAACGGACAGACGGACAGACAGACAGACAGACAGACGTAGATACATATTTCGATTCTGATCGTGATGCTGATCAAGAATATATATTCTCTATGGGGTCTGAGGTGTCCCCTTCACTGCGTTGCAAACTTCTGACTGAAATTATAATACCCTTTGCTCTGCAAGGGTATAACAAGAAAGGAAGCTAGCTTCGGCAAGCTGATTTTCCTATTAATTTTTTTATGGCAGCTATATGATAGAGTTATCTGATTTTGATAAAATTTAATTTGAAATTCAATAGCAGTAAGAAAATGCTATCTGAAAAAAAATTAAGTCGATCTGATCAAAATCAGCTGCCTGAGAATTTATTAATTCATTCTCTCGTATAGGAGCTGTCCGATATACTCTAGTCGGCCGATCCGGCCCGTTTCCACTTATATACTGCGTGCAATAACTACACACCTTTTGGTAAAGTTTCAGCGAGAATGCTTTAAAACTGAGAGACCAGTTTACATAGAAACCGACTGGAGGAAAGACGGACAGAGAGACAGACGGACAGATGTTCATACGTATTTGAATTCTGATCGTGATGCTGATCAAGAATATATATACTTTACGGGGTCTGAGGTGTCTCCTTCACTGCAAACTTCTAACTAAAATTATAATACCCTTTGCTCTGCACGGGTATAAAAAGAATTAGAAGTATGCTAAAAATTCGTAGATTATAAAGGACGAGGTCGGAATTATCTGTATTGCATATAATTTCCTAAATCTCTCTTTACTGCGCTTTTCATTTTTTATAAACACAATCATTTTAATTCCTAAACAAAAAAATGTTATAAAAAAATAAATATAATATTCTACAAGTTTTGTACACAAAATTGGACTACACATGTACCACGTATAATATCAAACTTAAGCAAGCAATAATTATATTCTATCTTAGCCTTACAGGTAACAAAAAATATTTACGTTTTTAAGATTTACTTACTTATTATAAAGAACAATATCTGGTCGCCATATATGATCGGAAGGAACGTGCAACATATGAACTCCGCCATATTCCTTTGGTTCCCATCGAAGTTTATAATCATACCAAGACTATGAAAAAGTAGACAACAAATTTTGTAAATAGATAAAATTTTAATTTAAATTTTAAAATACTTTGTAAAAACAAAAATTAAGTTTGTGTTGAATGACATGAGCAAAGCACTGTTGGAGGCAAACCAAAAAATAGATAACAACCAATCATCTCAAGTCACGGATTTGTCAGTAAAATTATATACAATTAAAACGTAATTGCCGGTAGCCTGGTGGGCCAGCAGGTAGACCGCTGGCCTACGAACCAGAAGTCCTGGGTTCAAGTACAAAGGCCACCCCGCGAAAAAGTTATTGCTCTTCTTCGAAAGCTCTAAAAATTCTACGCTCTATCACTCACTAACAATAACAACACAATTTCGTCTCCCCGGATCCGCACACCCCTCGTCCACGCTACTATGGACACAGCAATAAAACTTTCGTGTAACTACTTAGTATACAGGCTCGAACAACAACAAGATCGCTAGTAGGAAGGACGTTTCTTAAACATTGTTCTCGCCACCGTAAGATGGTACCCAAGCAGAACTAGAAAAAGCTCCCCAGGCCTCATGGGTCTAGTTTTCGCATCCCCCGCCAGATTTCGCTGCGATGCAAACATGCACCATCGAGTATGCTTCATCTTCACCGCCAAAACGGCGATTCAAAGGGTGTAACCCCCGCGTCACTCCTAGATGGCGATAGGTTGGCTAATCACCAGCTTACTGAATCCAATACAAGATTTCTGGACACAAGCGGACCCCTTCGATGACGACTATAGGCATATCTAAAAGGACACGAATAAGACAATGGAACGTTAGAACTCTAAGAGAGCCGTCTACATTAGCGCAATTTGAAGGAGAAATAGACAAATTCCAGGTCACAATAGCGGGGATCTTTGATATAAGATGGAGCGGTAATGGGGCAACAACATTAGCAAATGGTTATCTAATCTTGCACAGTGGTAATAATGAGAGAAGCAGATATGGAGTAGAGATATTCGTAGCCAGAAGAATGAAAGAAACGCTGGACCCCCATTTCAGACAGTTTCATTAAGGCCCCGTTTAGATGCAGGGCGAGACATATAACAAGACATAGCAAGGCAACGTCCCAACCGAATTAAAGACGACTTCTATGCCGCCCTTACTACGACTCTCACTGACATCCCTCGAGGCAACATCACTGTTCTCATGGGCGACTTCAATGCAAAAATAGGACCCAGAATGAGGTCAGCCACTGGCGCTAACGGTATAGGTACGCGCAATAATAATGGTTTCAGACTAATAGAAGTATGCCAAATTCTTCAGTTGATCATTGAAGGTAGTGTGTTCCCACACAGAGATATCCACAAATACACGTGGACATCTCCGAGTGGAAATGCACGAAACTAAATTGACCACATTTGTATAAGCAGAAAATGGAGGAAGTCTCTACTGGAAGTAAGAAACAAGAGGGAATCATCGATAGACAGCAACCACGAACTCATTGGAGGAGCTTTCAATCAAGCTGGACCGCAATCGCCCGCGAAATGCTGACTCAAGGACCCACTGCCTGTCCCCCATCAACCTACACCTACTTGGCAAAACGGACATCAGCGCCACATGCGATCACTATACCAGGGAGTTGAACAAATCTCAGTGCAACGCGACGCTAACGCAGCTACGTTATTTTTCTTGATTTCTTGTTATATATAAACCACTCAAACCACCACGATTAAATAGTAAAGTTATACTTTATAAATTTTCAAAGGGTTTTTTGTACGGCTAAGGTTCCCCTTAAATCTATGACCCCGAGCTGCCGGCAGGAGGGGACACATCTTAAAATGGTGGCCCATGAGGGGAACGTCTGCAAGCATTAGTGAATAATTTGTGAAAATTTTAACTCTATTTAAAAGCCTAACTTTAAAATTATAAGAAGTGCGCGACGCAAGCTCCGCTAGGTCGTGTAGTGCAACTTAACTCGGTTCGACGAACCCAGACAAATCGAACTGGAATATTGTTAAGCACCGCTTAAGATAAGCGCTTATCTACGCTCAGGCGGGGCGGCGTTTCTTTTCTTAGCTTTGGTTTTGTACTGGAAGGTAAGCAAAAGAGCTTGTGCCAGCGGAAGACCGTGACTGTTGCCGCAGCTGTCGGACAGACTACTGAGTTTCGCATGACGACGCTACAAATGACAGTTCCAAAACTTTCAGGTGCGGCCGTGGACTGGCCAGGTAACTTCGGTGCATTTAACAGCCTTGTATACAACAATCCGTCGCTTACCGGGATGCAAAAGCTCTAATTTCTTGAGGAATCGCTCCCTGCCGGACGCGATGACGACGTGCGCCAAGTGCAGCTCACAGACTCAAACTTCCCGGTGGCTTGGTCCCTGATGCTAAAACGCTACAAGGTCATGGACGCGATTGAAAACCGAAGCTCGTCGAACGACCTCAGTCCTGGGCCCGGGTCGTCAGATGTCATGGGTTCGAGTGTACAACGTACGCGACGAGTCAGGATGCCCCGGCATCGTTGCAACGGAGGTCATATTCTGCGCCGTTGTCCGACGTTTCGAGCTATGGAAGCGCGAAGGCGCAATGAGATTGTGTGCATCAACTGCCTCAGCAAGGCTCATGCGTTTCCCCACTTCACTAGCTACAAAGTGTGTCAGATTTGCGGTCAGCGTCATCATACGCTGTTGCTCTTGCCGAGTGCAGCTCAGCCCGCCATCGCTCCGCAGGCCCCTCTACCCAGTCGTCTTCGCTGCAGTCGAGATCTTCGATGGCTGATAATGGTGATCAGTCTCAAGGATCGACCTTATCTTGGGAGTGGACCTTATCGCGCAGATCATGCTGTCCGGTACGCGAATAGGAAGTCCTACAGAGCCGATTGCTCAACAGACTCAATTGGAATGGATTCTCTCAGGTCAAGCCGCCGACTCGACCAGCTCCACACAGATCCGTTGCCATCATGTAGTCTCCGAGGCGGAGACGCTTTCGAAGGTCTTTTTCGAGATCGAGACCGTACCAGAGCGGACTCGCACAGAGGAGGATTGGAGATGCAAATCGTTCTTTCAAAGAACGCATTCCCGCCGTACGGATGGACGGTACATGGTGCGCCTCCCTTTCAACAGGTATCTGATTCACAACATCGTGTTGGGACGAACTCACCAGCTAGAGCGGCTTATGTGTACGCACCCCGGCCGGAATGCATCATGCGTCTTGTGTGCTACCCCACCATGGCGTCTACAAGGCAGAAGGTCCTGCCACGAGGCAGAGGATATCGTTCGACGCATCAGCGAAGACGAGCAACGGAAGATCCCTAAATGCTGTTCTGTTTACCGGACCCCTCTCCAAAACGACATGTGCTTCTCAATCGGCGAAAATATCGCTATGTTTTCGCAGCCGACCTTCAAACAATGTATCGCAATAACAGCGGATTAAACGCGTTGTCGACTCTGACGTTCGGAACGGAATCCGCACCATACACAGCCATTAAAGTCATATACAGATTGGCGCAGTACGAGACGAATTCTTTCCCAAGGGCTGCCAAGGACTTAAGGGGGTTATATACCTTTTTCAGGCTCAAAAAATCGAAAAAAATTTTATAATTTTTTTTTGATGTACATACTTTCAACAATTTTTCTGCAAAAATTTTTAGAGATCGGGGCACAAGAACCTAAGTTACAGCCGTTCATAGCGCACGGTGTACATGACTCCTAATGTCCACCTAAAACTTTAAACGCGATTATTTCGGAATCGCATTTTTGAGAAAAGGTCATTGCGGTGAGCACGATATCTCGGTAACCACTACATCGATCGATTTGAAATTTTGGGGGATTGTTTGTAGATACAATAGCTAGTTCGTGAACAAAGGAATTTTATTTTTGACAAATTTTTCTATTTTTTGGGGCGAAAAACTAAATTATTAGACCTCGAAAAATCGGTTTTTTTGAAAAAATAATCACTGTAACTGTAAAAAATTTTTTTCGTAAAATCTTTCGTTCACGAACTAGGTAACACTATATACTAACCTAGTTTTTTTTCATTTTTTTTTAAGTTGAGCCGTTTCCTTGTTTTCATGCTCACAGTGAGCCACTCCTGAAAAAAGGACTTCTGCGGCAAGGACTGTAACTTCCAAAATTATGAAAATTTTCACTCGAAATTTTATACGAATTTACTTAAGGACACGTACGTTGATAAAATTTGTATTGTATTTCAATAAAACAATGGTAACATGCTAAAAAAAAAATATATAAAAACCCTGTATTTCTCTGGAGAAAAAGGTATATAACCCCTTTAAGGAGGAGATATATGTGGACGACATACTATCCGGAGGTTATATTGTGGGTGATGCGGAAGAGAAGCGGGTGCAGGTCGTGGGAGCTAATCCGCACGCATGATGCGGTCAGACACCTTTAAATTTGGATCTAACGGATCCGGTAAAGGCGTTGGGGATGTATTGGATCCCAGATTCTGACTGGTTCAAGTAAAAAAAGAAATTTTGGCTTTCCAGATTGCACGACGAAAAGGACCTTGCTGGCCTCTGTCAGCGTCTTTTCGATTCGTTAGGTCTAATAGCTCCGGTCATCATCATTGGGAAGCTCATTTTAAAGAAGGTGACTTTGGTCAAGGTGGCGAACAGCGAGGGAGTGCAGGTGTCGTTGGGCTGGGACCCACCGGTGCCAACAGCGATTCTGGAGCATTGAGAAGCGTTTCGCTCCAACGTCCCAGGAATCGAGGACATCGTCGTCAGTCGGTGGACGGTGTACGATCCGGCCTCCGTAACCATTGTGCAATTGTAGGCGTTCTGCGACGGGTCGTCGTCGTCGTATGCTGAGTCTGTTTACCTGCAAGACGAGCACGTCAACGGGACCTTCGGCACGACCTTGCTGGCGCTCATGACGAAGGTCATGATTATTAACCATACCCAGGACAGAGCTAACCGGAGCAGTACTGGCAGTCAAGCATGTTAGGTGGTTGTCCGCAGCGGTTCAAATTGGCGAACTTCGGTTGCAGACTTTCTTTTGGACAGAAGGTGGAAGACTTTAAT